CGTCGTGCCCCTGATAAGACTAGCCTTGTCTCCCTGAATAGGTCCGCCCCGCCCTGTTGGCAGGGTGCCCAGCCCCGCCCCGCCACGCCACGCCCCGCCTTGTCACACCACCGACTCCCTCATCAGCACCCCGCACTCGGCATGGCGGCAGTTATTGCGTTTTCAACCGGAACTGCGACGAGTGCTGCATCTGCGGCTCTCTATTGCATGAAACTCGGGGAAAACTAGTTTTGTCTGCCACTTTGCAAGTGTCTGGCGGGCATTCGTTATAATTACTTTGCACTGTATTTTCAACGCGCAGCAGTTTGGAGGCGCGCCTTGATCGTTTCTTTCTGTACCGTTCACAAGGAAATGACCTACTCCGACCTGCGCTGTATTTTTCGAACGGTTTAGGATTGAGTTAAGTATTTTAATTTGAAATTGATTTTTGAAATATGTGGTTAGAAATTTCTTGCGGATTAGTTTCACGTAGTGTTGATAGTTCGACACTAGACTTATCAAAGCGAGAGCTCGAAATTCATCATTTGAAAAAGCAGCGTGAGGTTATACACTCTTAAATTCTTACAAAGAAAATTGTTGTATTACAAACAATTTTTTGCAACCGTAATACAAAGCCAAATTTTCTTTGTAGTACAAAGAAAACTTTTGTTTAATACAAGGAAATTTCTTGTACTACCAGGAGATTTCCTATATATTTCGGTTGCACAAAATTCTTTGCATTATACGAACAAATTCTTTGTAAAAGATTTAGAGTGTAATCGCTTGAATATTTACTGCTCGGGAAGAATGACAATAAGATAATGTGAATGCGATGGAGATGTGCCCTCAGCTCGTGGCCCCGTGGCCCCAGCGCCCTCACCTCTGGAGTGCGGCCGCAGCAGCAGCGGCAGCAGCGTCCACGTGTCTCGGTTGGCGATGGGCCGGTAGACGGCGTCGTACACGCGGTCCGTGATGCCCAGGATCTTCCGGACGCGCACGCCGTCGTCCGAGTTGATGGAGGCGGGCGCGAAGTGGAACTGGATGTCGGGCCAGCGCTCGGAGCGGTTCGAGTACTTGGTGTGGATGAAGGCGAGCCCCTCCACGCCGCCCAGGGTGGTCATGGGCCCGCGCTCGCGCATCACGTACTGCGTGGTGATGGCCACGGGCTGCAACACGCACGGGCGCCGTGTCAACACGCTACATTCGACCGCGGCATCAATAGTGTGGTGGAAAAACAAAAGCTTTTGTACATATAATAGTATCGACGCGAGCTAACTATACGAGAGTTAATTAATTTTTTTTTTTAAAGTTAGCCCCCCACATCTTAATTTTTTGTTTTTACACATTGACGCCAAGTTTTTGAAACGGCGTCTAGCTTGCCGCTTTTGTTTTGATCGCAAGTCCCGTCACCGTCTAGTGAAGCTACAGTTAAAGTATAATAAGTGCAGAAATATTTTTGTAAAGAAGGAAAGATGTCTAAGTTTTTGTTTTTGCTGGGTAGCGGGCGTGCGCGGGCCTTACTCCGAGTGTGGGAAGTTGGTCGAATCCACTCCAGCCCTAAGTGGTAGAGCCGTTTGCCTCTTACTTTGTACATGCAATGCTGCCACCTTGACGTGCCAAAGGGAAGGGTCAGCCTCTTTAAAATGTTTAAAGGCAGTGTCTTTTGTTTCTCCTTTTGGACTCACTGTCGTCTGGTCGAGTGCGTCTCGTTGTCGTCCGGCCCTTACCTGACCAGTTGGGATGTCCTTCACTCTGCTGTTTTGTCTTCGTCTAAAGTTGTCAGTCAAATGGCTTTGACTCGATACTCACGTTGTGTTCGAGCATCGACCGTTGCAACAAAGCACTTCGGACAACACACCTTGGTTGTTTTCGTTAACAGAGGTTAACAACGTCCTGTCATTGCATTTTTACAACTGAGGAATCAAATTTTGAGTTTATAAGGCCTTACACTTGCAGAGCCAAATATTATCCGCGTTTAACTTTAACAATACGCGGCACTTTTACGTTGCACGTTTTGAAAAAGTCTTGAAGGTACTTATATAGCTGCTGTACAGGAATTAGCCAGTCGTATATTATAAACATACTTATACTTGCCTCAAAAAAATAAATAAATATATTGAAGTTCCATCTTTTACGTTGGAAAACTCACTATTAAAAGAAACACGTGGTGTCCATGTTTCAATTCACAAGTGATAAATCCAACAACCTATTTGATATGTGTACAGTTCCCATGAACGTGAAGCTGAATTAAACTCGGTGCGGTCAGAGTGGAAAACAGAGAGAATTCTGGGCAGTATTACTTCTAGTTCTGTGAACCGAAAATAAGGTTGTTCTACTATTGGAGAACGAAATACACAATGTGATACTCCCTGTCCTGTTTGAGCTATAGCAAACTCACGTACCTAGGAAGGAAAAGATTACCCTCATCTATAATAGGACAATATTTTCACTGTGACCTTTTACCTGGAACCTATTTTGCACGATGGTGACAGGTGGGTCGACGAGGAACGTCATGCCAGCCATGCCCACGTGGTCTTGGAGATTCTCCCCTACCCTCAGGTTCCTCAGGGTGGGGATTCCTACGCGCTGCAAGTGCTCTCGCGGGCCCACCCCCGACAGCATGAGCAGCTGCGGAGATCCAATGGCCCCAGCCGACATAATGACCTGAAAAGTTAGAAAAGCATTAATTTATTTTAAGTGCAGGTCTACAAGCCAAAGAGAGATTAAAGGGCAGGTCCAAAAATGGTCTTTTAACGGACTCTTCCTTGAAGTATGCCTTTTTGGGACAAAAACTTTGTCTATTTGGCAATATCTTTCACCGTTTGAGCGCTGGATGATTTTTTTGACAAAAAAAAGCCGAAAATGACCCCGTTGTACAGGAAGACGTCCATGAGGGCCTCAAATCGAAAACTGGTAGAGAAAATATCCCCCACCCATAAAACAACACATTCTGGATCGGTACCTCTCCTCGGCTGTCCTGTTGCAGTTGCCACGAGAAAATGGTATCCTTAAATTTAGGGAAATTCTTTAAAAAGATTCCCTTGTTTTAAGGCATTTCCATTGTTTTCAAGGAAATAGCTTTAATCGAGGAAATAAGGAAAATTTTACTCTTCATAAACGAAGTTGTGAAAGACAATTTTCCTTCTATTTTTTTCAAGGTAAAAATAGCGTTGAAGCAACGCATTTCGCCTTGTTTCAAGGATACCATTCTGGGTGTGCGGAGCTAGAGTTAGATTTTTTGAAAACAGTGACCAAAGGACCCGTTCTATGACTGAGCAAACAATACATCCTAACAACTGCGCTTGTTTGTTATTTGTCATCTATTTTCTCGTAGCAGAAGTGTGGGGTGTAGTCGCTTTAAATGCGTCATTTCTAGATTAGCATTCAGATCCCATGGAGTTAAAGCTGCCTGCATAATCGCTACTGTCGCTTTTTTCTCTCAACGCGTCTCCGCGACGCCCCTCTCCCCTTCTCCCCCTCCTCCTCCCCCTGATGTGGAGTGAAAGCTCGTCGCATCGGCGCGCGCTACCGGTCCGCGGTGTGTGAATATTGATTAAGATATTGGGCCGCCCGAGTGGCGCCTCGTGGGACGTGACTGGTGCACTTCAAAAGAATGTTGCGTGGGACGCGCTTTTTGTTTTTGTTTCATTTCATTTATAATTATTAAGATGCGCACAGCTCCATAGCAAGTTCTTACATTACCCACTGTGAAAAGTAGTCGTAGATTTACAGGAAAATTTTCCGTGGGTTGTGTCGGAAAATTACAGTTTGAAAACGTAAATTTGCACGCATTTTGTATCGACTTGGAATTTATCGACAAGCTAGAATGGGCTTTCGCAAATTTACAACATATTTTGCAAACAAAAATTACAACAAATGTTGTAAATTTTCGAGCACTTTTTTTACAGTGACCCCATGATTAAAGGTATGCAGTGAATTCTGAATACTTGTCCGCACTTGCTTTTACAGAGTTGTTTTTAGAATCCTGTTTCAATGTCCGGATGATTCTATGCGTGTGAATTGGCTTGATTCCCTCGGCAGCCCCATCGACCGATCGTCTCGACCCGTCGTCGGCCCCTCCGCGCCGCAACGGGGACGACGTGACGTGTCGTTGGGTAATTGCGAGGTCGTGCCCCCCGGCGCTTCACCCCGCAGGCAGAGTGACCAACACCACAAACAATTTACTTTTCAAAAGCACTTCACAGGGTATTCGTCCACATTTTATATATTTTATGCCCATCTGGCTCTTATCGCTGAGCGAAGCTCAGTCCAAGTCAATGAGGGGTCAGGCGATGTCTCCGTCGTGAGTCTGTC